GAGCCACACTGCAGATATATTATAGTTGTAGCATGAATGGGTCGGCTCGACCGGGGCAGGATCCCGCACTCACAGAATACCAGCGTAAAATAGCAGTGTAATGCCGCTGTGTTTCATATGGTGAGTGTAGAGAACCGGAGACCCTTTTTACTGGAATCGAGGCATTCCATTTTAGTCCTCAGGGCTGACAATGCATTTGCATTTTGAATCTTAATTGAGAATAAATATGGATGTCTATGTGCCACAACATTGACTTACCATCAGATGGACTGTGTGCTCGTTTGTCATCCAATGCTAGAAAAATATATATGATTAAATTTGTCATTTTGTTACCTCGTATATTGGAGCGTCGTTCTTGAACCAGTGTACTGAAGGCGCTGGTGTTCCAACTGCTTCGCAAGTGAGCTCCAGTGGTGCCCCAGTGGGGTGCACTGTCATTGGGTTGGGCTTCTTCATCAGCGTTAGGAACTTTTTGGACGCTTGTGTTGACTGTACTGCGGAAAGTAATTTAATAAAAATAAAAAGTAAAGCTTTTTTGTTACCAGGAAAAAATTATGAAGTTGGTCATTTAAATTGTTATGGTAATTATATAGTTGAACCATAATAACGACTAAATTGGAAATATATTGAATAATGGTCAAATTGAGAGTACCCTAAACCGATGAGCATGTGTACTTAGGTGTATGGATGTGAAAGAAGCAAAAGTGTGTGAGAATCGTGAAAATGGAAAGTACCAGTCCCTCCCATCTGAGTAACAGGTGTTGTAAGTTTATGTTATGTTGATCATGGTAACTGACATAACCTGACTGAAGAATATGAAGAATTGACAACTGATGGAGAAGAAATGTTCACGAGTGGTTTCCCCGTACCGGTAAGCGATGTGTTGGGTACCTTTCCAATAGGTGGAGTGACGCCTTGGTAAGAAATGCAGGAAGTCGATGGATGCAGGTGGTTCAGGACTGTGATTTGTGGCATTCCTTGGGGGATGTTTTTGTTCAGCAGTGGACTTGTGAAGGCTGTATAATGATGGTGAACATAACTAACTAAATTAAACAATATACAATATAGCTAGTAGAATATACGTGGTAGAGCCACGCTGCAGCTATAGTATGGTTGTAGCAAGAATGGGTCGGCTCGATCATAGAAGGACCACGCTCTCACTGAATACCAGCGTAAAATAGCAGCTCAATACTGATGTGTTTCGTATGGTGAGTGTAGAGAACCGGAAATCATTTTCACTGAAAACGAGGCGTTCCAACTCAGTTCTCGGGGGCGACAGCTCATCTGCATTTTGATTCTTAATTGAGGGTAGATGTAGATGTCCACGGGCCACAAAAATTTTTTGCGTTCCTATTGGATAAACTAATGTATATAATACAGTGTCTCAGTGGTTGTTGGTATTGTTTTCTGCACAATTTTTAACTCTCTTTTTTATTATTTTACTTTTAGGAATACTCGTGCTTTGGTTTATCTATTTTTATCCAATTAATATAAAATGCCACTAATATTTCAGAAAAAGAAAATATAAACCTTTATATTTTTCTAATAATCTAACTTCCCCTCCATGATTTCTGTCAAATGTTTAACTTCGTTACAAAGTGGCGACGACCTGACAGAAAAAGTTGTGGATACCCTCATTGCTCCTTAACTCTTATAAATGAGGTAAGGCTAGTAGTAGTAGGCCCAGCAATGGGATATATGTAGGGTGTAAGTTTACTTTACTTTTACGTTACTTACAGTTAACTCCAATATTACTGTCCATTTCTAGTAGCTTCATATGTTTGTTAACGTTGGCTGAACGGCAACCTCCGCTCAGTAGCGCCGCGGCGGCGAATAGCAGAACTATGTAGAGCATTCTTCAAAATTATTTGTACTGTGAGAGATTCAAGGTTGGTTTATCTGAAACAAACGAGATTTATACATTAGAACAAGTTGTAAACAGGGTTAGTTTGTCCTTGTGCAATTTATGTATGTAAACTGCCCCCACGATACGGATACGGATAAAATCACAATGTGGGGGTAATGTTATTTTAAAAAGAAAGTATAATAAGCTATATTAAGAAGGAATTATTTTACTAATTTAATAAATTTAATTATTATATTTTCTTTATTAAATTTAAAGACAGTTTGTTATACACGTTTATAAACATTAAATGAGGACTGGAGCTATGCAGTATTAAATTGCATTTCGAGTTAAGAGGTTTGTTCTTATAGAGCGGTTCGCAGCGGCTGATATTCCTTATAACAACTCAAAATTAAAAAAAAATGTCATGCAAAACAACGAAGCCTATGTTAACACAACATCGAAAGATACAATAAGTGGTAAAATTAAAAATTTGTACAAGTCGATTAAATACGCATTATTTGAGAATAACTCAAAAAACACTGGTCAGATCTTGATCAAATTTATATGGAACCGCAAGAAAAGCACCAGCTTTCAAATAAAAAAGAACCATCAAAATCGGTTCATCCAGAGGTAACACATTAAAAAAACATACAGTCGGATGAATACCTTCTCCTTTTCCAAGTCGGTAAAAAGAAAATTGTACATTTACTAAGTAAAATAAAAAGAAGTTGTGTAAAGTCAAGCAGAATTTCACCTCAGTGCTTATCTGTGGTTATACGAGTACATATAATATTATTTTATGTAAACAAATATTCAGGTGCGGAACAACTATTAAATTAATAATAATAATGTCCTCTACACCGGATTTCAAACACGGTGACCATTAGACTGGTCTATTAGACCAGGAGACTAGACATCTACGCAGGATAGGATTGAAGTGGTTAAGTGTGTTTTTGTTTTTGAGATTGCACTTGTGTTTGCAAACACAAGTGCAATCTCTATTTCCTCACACTCATAGCCATGTGGAATGACAATCCGGTACAACCAGAGACAGAGAGTTTAGGCGTAGGACCAACGACTTATCGTGTTTTCCGAAGTTCGGAGGTGGAACACCGGCAACTTCCTGACTCCTGAGATTTTTTTTATAGATGAGAGTGACAAACAAGTACACAGTCCACTTGATTGTAAGGTCTGCTGTGACCCATAGACATCTACATTTATGCAATCAAAATGCAGATGAGTTGTCAGCCGTGAGGACTTAGATGGAATGTCTCGTTTCCAGTAAAAAGGGTTTCCGTTTCTCTACACTCACCATACGAAACACAGCAGCATTAAGCTGCTATTTTACGCTGGTATTCTGTGAGAGCGTGGTCCTTCCTCGGGCGATCCTACCCATTCGTGCTGTAACTATACTATAGCTGCAGCATGGCTCTACCACGTAAGAATTGTCTTGATAGAAATACCGAATAACTGATTTTAGCCCGACTCTAGATTCGAACTCAGAACTACATGATCAACAGTCGGGCTAGCGCGCGCTAGGCCAAAGATTTTGGCCCGGCCCAGGATTTGAACCCGGGATCGCATTATCAGCACTCGCGCTGACAACCACTACACCAGACTAACGAGGCAGTTTCTATAATTATCACTAAGCCATACAAGCTTCTCTGTGAAGGATTCCATATTATTTAATTGTAATGTCCAAATACAGTCCGTGAGGATAATATGGTCAACCGGTTAATATGGTCACTTTCTTATAACACTAAAACTACAGCCTTGTTTGCATAAAAGGCTGTGTGATACGATAGCTCTTCATCAGAGGGTCAAAAAGGCGCTGCTTTATCGACGCCAAGCAGATGGTAGCGTTAAACCATCTTCTCGATTGAAATTGGGATATTTTTTGATGTCAATAGCCTCGCGAATTATCCTTGGAAGGAATCGTATTCTCTAGGGAGGATTTGTGGTCTATCAAATCTGATGTAGTGACGGGGGCGATCTTGTACGTGTTCACAGACTGCAGACTTTCCGGAGCGTCTAATCTTCATATCAGCTATGTGTCCTCTAACACATAGCTGATGTATAGATATTTAACGCGGGTTTTATTGATCTTCTGGGTGTCGGGGATATAAAATAAGTTAATATACGGGATAAAATCCGTAAAAACTAGTTTTATTTAAATGTGTATTGTTCGCATAAATATAAGAAATCATTATATAGTACATTCAAAAGGTACACATTTTATCCTATATATAATTTTTTATACATGTTTATACATTTATAAAAAATACAGTTTATATATTTTTTTTACGTGGTAGAGCCATGCTGCAGTTATATTAGATGTATAGTTGTAGCACGAATGGGTCGGCTCGACCGGGGAAGGACCACGCTCTCACAGAATACCAGCGTGAAATAGTAGCTTAATGCTGCTGTACTTCGTATGGTGAGTGTAGAGAACCGGCGACCCATTTTACTGGAAACGTGGCATTCCATCTTAGTCCTCACGGGTGACAACACATCTGCATTTTGATTCGTAATCGAGGATAGATGTAGATGTCTATGGGCCACAGCAACCACTTACCATCAGGTGGACTGTGTGCTCGATTGTCACCCTATGCTATAAAAAAAAATACATCCTAACCAGAAGTGAATGCTAGGTAAATAACACAAATAATAAACCCAAATAATAATACTACTAAATGGTTGCTTTGTTTGTCTCATGGTCTTTGCGCTACAACTGGTCATGCGGTCCCGGGTTTTAATTCTGAATCGCGCCAAAATAGTTAGTGGTTTTTCCTGTCAAGAAATTCTCAGTAACAGCCCGGAGCAAAGAAATTGGTAGCATTCCATTTCCGCGCCTCAGAGAGTAGTTAAAGTTTTAGTGCAGTAGTAGGATCTCTCTTCGTTAATGTCGGTGTACCGTCCCATCGGACTATGAGAGTGAGGGAATAGAGAGTGCACCTGTGCTTGCGCACACACTTGGGCACTATAATCGTGTCCTGCGCAGATGATCAGTGAACAGTGAGCGCACGACACAGGCGCACGCGTATACGTTTGCACTCTTGTTTACGTATCTGCTACTATCTACGCCATACGACATACAACATATATCACCAACCTTTTTTTTCGTAACTGTAGTCATTGATACTGTTACTTCAAGATGAATATCTGTCAATCATGTTCAAATGAGTTCAATGATGGAGCGCAATGTTATGTTTGTAAAAAACACGACGTAACAAGGTTTCGGAACTTAGGAGCAGATCGAAGAGCTCAATGGAAATGCCTTCAGTGCAAAAAGGTTTCCTTCAGCCCCTCCCGTCCAAGTTCTGAAGCCACTCCTGGTGGCAATTCTGGTGGGGAGTCGGCGACCTTGGATGTTATTCTTAAGGAGATTCGTGAGATGAAGAAGCTGGTCACAACAGTTCAGAGTCTTATCGAAGACATCAAATCTATTAAAGTTGAATTAATCCATCTGAAGGAGTCTTGTGAGTACAACAGCAGTTCAATTAAATCTTTTCAAGATCAAGTCTCCAGTTTGGAACGTGGTGTATCTCAGATAGAAAAGATTCAAAATTCTCTCGCTGTGACCAACAAGGAAATAGCTAATCTTAAAAGTGTTATTGAGACCAATGAACAATGGTCACGGCTTAGTCATGTTGAGGTAAAGAGCATGCCCCTAAAGCCCAATGAAAACCTATTTGTAATTGCGGAGTCTATGGGTAAAGAGTTGGGTATAATTCCAAAAATAAATCAATTACATATCCCGAGTACCAATGTTTAATACCAAAGAGAAGGCCATCATTATCAATTTCATAAATCGTTATGTCCAAGAAGAATTTGTAGCAGGCAATCTGGGTCAAATACGGAAAAATTCATATTCGTAAAAATGATACTTCGCCGGTTTTAATTATTACTAAAGAGGGTGATTTAAACAAAATAGCTTAATTTATTGTTTATTAATGTCTCTTTACATTACTTCTTTTAATTTTATTAAGTATTGTTACCTACGTATAATTAACTTTTACTTTTATGGAATTATAAGCTGTTTTTAAAAAGTTACAAAATGCTTGTTACCCCTGCCTTACCTGCTTCGTTGACGCATCGCTATTTGTTAAAATTGCCTATCGGTTATCAGTTGCTTGCTTCTGTTGACGGTCGCTTAAGTTTGCATCATATTTTGCACTCATTATTATAGATGATACAGTTTTATTTTTTCTACCCGTTTGTAAATATTATATGCTAACTTATTATAGTCTTAGTGAATTTTTAAATATTGGTATATTGTTTACTATTTTTACTAACGGGTTTTTGAAATATGACGGGAGATATATATTCCTTTATTGTAGTAAAATTATTTTGGTTATTGATAGGCTTAAAAATGGCTATGCTACATAATAATAGTGTACGTGTAGGGTGTGGCAGTGACAACCTGAGAATATATTATCAGAACGCAAGAGGCTTGCGCACTAAAACTTACATATTTTATCGTAAGATTCTTTTATGTGATTATGAAATAATATTAATTACGGAGACATGGCTCCTGGAATGAATTAGTGATACGGAATTATTTGATAATCGATACGTTGTATGGCGGCGTGATAGGAATTACACAATTACTGGTCAAAAATACGGTGGTGGCGTTTTGATTGCGACGCGTAAAGATCTAGAAGCTATCCCGCAGCCTTCCTTTCATTCAAGTGCTGAGGACCTATGGTTAACGTTGTCTATTCACCATATTACCCGTAAAAAACGCAAGAACTTGCATATTTGTGTCTTATATTTGTGTAACGAAAATCGGGGTCTCAGTTTTACTGCTCAACTTCAAAATTATTTGCACTCGGTTAGTGAAGTTGTCATGAGTCACTCGGACAATAGCTTTTTATTAATTGGCGACTTTAATATTAGTGATATTGTTACGAGCTTGAGGTTCGTGACAATAAAAATTGCCGATAAAATTACCTAAATTAACACTTTAATTTACTTTACACAATTAAAGTTAAAACACTAATAATTTAAACACACTAATTCACTTAATTCCACTCCGAAGCTTCGCTTGTTTCGCCCAAATCAACACTGCCTCCATCGCATCTTGCAGCGCCTATATATTTAAATTAGCAAAGAAATATCCAGAATGTTCAAGTAAACACGCGGAAGGTACCGAGCGTTCGAGTTTCGACTAGGCGCTGTCAGTTGAGCGATTTGTGATGTCATTTTCTCAATGCTCCCCTCGCTCTCGTTCCTGACACTAGATGGCGCTAGTTGACTTATTCATGCAACACTGCCCCCTCCTAAGACATGCTCGTCCCGAGCATTATCGGTCCCATAATAACGCGCCAAGCGATCAACATGGACGATCTTAGGAGTCCCTCTTGCGCCTTTCTGTATCCGGTAGGTCACATCGTTGATCCTGGTTACAATCCGGTACGGGCCGTCCCATTTAGCTTGAAGCTTAGGAGATTTCCCTTTGCTGCGGACTGGATTGTGCAACCACACAAGTGAACCTTCGTCGAACCCTTTGTTGTTCATTTTGCGGTCATACCGGGTTTTCATCTTTTCAGACATTTGCTGGCCCGATTGTCTGACGTGCTCATAAACGTCATTCATTTTTTTCCGCAAGTCATTTGCATAATCGATTATACTGCGTGGAGCATCGGGTGGTATCCCGGTGATCAGGTCTGCAGGCAGCCGTAATTCTCTTCCAAAGTTTGCGAAAGCTGGTGTCACTGCTGTACTTTCGTGAACAGAACTTCGATATGACAACAAAAACGGTTGTATGTGCTTGTCCCAATCTCGTTGCTGATTGTCTACAACTTTTGCTAGGTACCTCTCCAATGTCTGATTAAATCGTTCCACCATTCCATCAGATTGCGGGTGATAAGAAGTCGTTCTTGTTTTATGAGTACCCATAACTCGGCAAGTTTCCTGGAATATTTGAGACTCAAAATTCCTTCCTTGATCGCTGTGAATCTCTAAAGGTACTCCAAAACGACAGAAGACTTCATGAACTAGTTTATCTGCAACTGTTGAAGCTTCTTGATTTGGAATGGCGAAGACTTCTGGCCACTTAGTGAAGTAATCCATCACAACCATGAAATACTTGTTACCGCTTTCACTCTCCGGAAACGGCCCCGCCACGTCAATGGCTATTCTCTCCCATGGTGCACCAACATTGTACAACTTCAATGCACCTCTACTACGAGTCTGAGGTCCCTTTACAGCCGCACAACTTGTACATTTGCGACACCAGTCCTCGACATCGTTTCGACAGTGGACCCAGTAAAACCGTTCTCGGATCTTCAGTAGAGTTCGTTTAACTCCCAGATGGCCTCCTGAACAATCATTATGGTACAGCTGTAGAACATCCGGTACTTTAACTTTAGGGACAACCATTTGCAAATGACAGCTGTCTCCCCGAACGTTTTCTCATTTACGACACAGAACTCCATCCTGAAGCAGCAAGCTGTCCCACTGGGCCCAATAGCTTTTAGTGGTCGAACTCATCGCTGAGACGTCACTCCACTTGGGCTTGGGAGCACTGGCCTTTATCCATTCCAGAATCGGCTTGATGTCCGGATCTTCCTGCTGTGCATGTAGTAAGCTGTCCTTCCACTCGTTGCTGAGGTGGTCTGCCCTGAGCATCCTCACGGATACCACTTCCTTACTCTCTTGCCTAGTACAATGTTTGCAATCTTCAGGACAAGGTCTTCTTGACAATGCATCTGCGTTGCCATGAGATTTCCCGCTGCGATGTTCGATCTCAAAGTCGTATTCCTGCAGTAGTTCAATCCACCTCGCAACTTGTCCTTCTGGGTTTTTAAACTGCAATAGCCATTTTAGTGCAGCATGGTCAGTTCGTAAGTGAAATTTTCGTCCCAGAAGATATTTGCTAAAATGTTGCAACGACTTTACCACAGCTAGCAATTCGCGTCTTGTGACACAGTAGTTCCTTTCCGGTTTTGACAACGACTTGCTGAAGTACGCTATCACGACCTCTTGGTCACCATTACGTTGAGACAACACACCGCCAAGTCCTATATCACTTGCGTCTGTGTCAACTATAAATTCTTTGCTTGCATCAGGGTATCCCAAAATAGGTGTTTTGCACAGACGGTCCTTGAGCTCCTGGAATGCGATGTTACAACTTTCATCCCAGCAGAAATGTCGCTTCTCCTCGGTTAGCTTATGCAGAGGTTTGGCTATATCTGCAAAGTTCTTCACAAAACGTCGGTAATAGGAGCACAAACCCAAAAATGCTCTAACCTGCGTCTTGTCTTTTGGAACCGGCCAATCCTTTACAGCTGCGATTTTCTCTGGATCCGTGCAGATACCTTCTTCCGACACTACATACCCCAAAAAGTTGACTTGCCGTTTGAATAGTGAACATTTCTTCGGACTCAACTTAAGGTTGGCACTCTTAATCTTCATGAGCACGCGTTCCAGGTTTTGAAGGTGTTCCTCAAACGTACGGCCCACGATGATGATGTCATTCAAGTAGACCAGACAGGCATCGCCAATTAGCCCGGTAAGTACAAGTTCCATCAGCCTTTCAAACGTTGCTGGAGCATTGCACAACCCAAACGGCATTACTTTGAATTGCCACAGACCCTTTCCCGTCGAGAACGCAGTTTTCTCCTTGTCCTTAGGGTCAATTTCAACTTGCCAGTAGCCACTTTTTAGATCCAGCGTGCTAAACCATTTTACTCCTGTAAGCATGTCCAGCGTGTCATCAATTCTTGGCAAGGGATAGCTGTCCTTCTTTGTAACGTCGTTCAGACGGCGGTAATCAACACAGAACCGCATGCTGCCATCCTTCTTCTTTACCAGTACCACGGGTGAACACCATGGACTAGATGAAGGTTCAATAACACCATCCCTCACCATTCCCTCAATCATGGTTTCCACTTCCTTTTCACGTGCTACCGGCAATCGTCTTGGCCGCTGACGGATAGGCAATTCATCTCCTGTGTTTATTTTGTGTTGAACTAAGCCAGTCTTTCCTATGTCAGCATCGTTTGACGAGAATACATCAGCGAACTTGAGTAACAACTTCTTCGCCTTGACCAATTCGTTCGGGGAGAGAACACTGCGACAGTCTTCCAAAAGTGTGGTCACTTTCATTTCTGAATCCTTGCTGGGGGTCCCACTCGATATATATTGGCACTGACGTAACCAATCCACTTCCTCACAAGTACCAACCAGTGTGCCTTTTTCTATAATCTGTTTCCGGTCGCAAAGTTTCAGCACACGTACTCCTGAGATGTCAGTGGTCCTGACCAAGGTTCGAGCTACTTTCCATGGAAGGTCATTGTTTACCCTTTCCACAAGTACACAACGGTGAGCTTGCCCAGCGTTTCGAGGAAGACTAACCGGAACAATCGTTTCCGATCTCGGCGGAAGAACAATCTTCTTGATGCTGTACACGTTCCCTGGTAACGCACCTTCCATAAAAAGTTCCTCCTGTCCACATTTCAAAACACCTTGCTTAACGTCGATCTCGCAACAATTATTCCTCATAAAGTCTAAGCCTAGGATGCAGTCGTCCATTATATCAGCCACGATGACATTATGCAGGTAGATCACGTTGCCTAGCTTCAACTCCATCTCCTTCTCTCCACGGACGGGTATACGCTGACCGGTGGCTGTTACCAAATTAATGCGTTCTAGGTTGTATGCGGAGTCCCCAAGGAACTGACTTATAAGTTGGGAACTAACAACCGTACGAGAGGCTCCAGTGTCTATGGTCAGTTTACACGGCATTCCGTTGACCTCGCCCTTGATGAT